GCGATGGGGAAGGTGCTATCTAAAATCTTCGGGAACAAGGAAATGCGGATCCTCATGTTGGGCCTGGACGCGGCCGGCAAGACAACAATCCTGTACAAGTTGAAGCTGGGCCAGTCAGTTACCACCATTCCCACGGTGGGTTTCAACGTGGAGACGGTGACTTACAAAAACGTCAAGTTCAACGTCTGGGATGTGGGTGGCCAGGACAAGATCCGGCCGCTCTGGAGGCATTACTACACCGGGACCCAGGGGCTGATCTTCGTAGTGGACTGCGCCGACCGCGACCGCATCGACGAGGCCCGCCAGGAGCTGCACCGCATTATCAATGACCGGGAGATGAGGGACGCCATAATCCTCATCTTCGCCAACAAGCAGGACCTGCCTGATGCCATGAAACCCCACGAGATCCAGGAGAAACTGGGCCTGACCCGGATTCGGGACAGGAACTGGTATGTGCAGCCCTCCTGTGCCACCTCAGGGGACGGACTCTATGAGGGGCTCACATGGTTAACCTCTAACTACAAATCCTAATGAGCATTCTCCACCCATCCCCCGGAAGGAGAGAAATCAAAAACCCATTCATAGGATTATCGCCACCATCACCTCTTTCAATTGCCACTTTTCTCTTCTCTTGAATTTGAACTCTGGAGTTACTGTTCTACGGTTTGGGAGGGGTTGGGGTTTATTTTGTTCTTGGTTTTCTTTTCTTTCCTCTTTTTTTTTTTTGGCTTTGCGTTAGGATGCTCTGATCTGATATTTGACATGAACACAAAGTGCTAGATATTCTCGTTGACTTCCAGCAAATGGGATGGGGGAAATATAGCAGTTCTTGGTAAAGTCCTTTATAATAATGGTTTGATTTTTTTATTTCGAGAGAATCTTTTTTTTCCCCAATGTATGCTTTTTTCCTTTTTGCCCAGTTTCCTTATCACTTGCTGTACTGTAGATGGCTTATTTTGCATTCATGCAGACTGTGTTACAAGTCTGTTTCATCTAGTAAACTGAAAATTATTGCTTAATCAAACTGCCGTTTGTCTTTTATATTTAAGGCCTTCCCCCCCTTCCTTATGAATTATAATTTAGTAATTTCAAATGTGACCTTTTATATCTAAGACCAGTATAGTAAACTTAGCCCACAGTGGCAAATAATGAGTAATACCATTGTAATATGTTCCAGTTGCACATCAGTATGTTAAACAGGTAATGTAAGAAGTTCTTTGAAATGTCAGCTATTAAGTTCTGAAACATACATCATGCATGAGTAAGAATAAAACCCAAGTTCCCCTTAAAACTTAGCTAACTTTCAGCGCATAAAAATAGGAAAGTGTAACCCGTCAAGGACACAGTTTTTTTTTTTTTTTTAACTACAAAGTTAGCAACTTTGCAGTTTTCCCTTTTTTAACTTTAAAAATAGACTCCTTCCAGAAAATGGAGCAATAATGGTGTATGCTACACACAGATGAAATATTTGTAGATATTTTAAGTAAACTTTGGGCAAAACTGGAATATATACCTTAACTTTGTTTCCCGTGTCTAAAACCAGTAGTTTTTAAATTACTAAGACATTTACTTTGTCATTAAAAAGCATTTAACAGTTCAAATTATATGCACCTTTTATCTACTTGGAAAAATATACATTCCTGTTTTCACATTACAGCAACTGATTAAGCTGAAATAAGTCATTTTTTTATAGATGAGTGATCCACATCTCCATTAATTAGAACACTGGAAAAATGTTTTATAAAAAAGATATTTAATTTTGTTTGATTGTAGGATTAATTCATGCAAATAGTAAATCAGATAGTCTGTTGGTTCAGTAGTACACTGTCTCCTTTAAGGAAGGAAATGTGATGAATGAATGATGTGTAGACTTGGGGTGACAATTAAAAGAGAAGTAGGATGAAGAGAAAGAACCTACAGATGACAATGAATGTAAACTTATTTTTCTTCAAGGATAAGCAGTGTGCTCACTGGTAATATCCAGATCATAACAAGATTACTTGGTTAGCTGGTTAGGACCAGTGACTAGATTGAGACCACTATGAAAATATTATGAACCAAATGTTAATGCTTGATATACAGAATTGTAAAGCAGCATCTGGTTCTTATATAGCCTTAAGGATGAATTTTAGCAGTCCTCAAGGAATTAAACTTAGGGTATTTCAGAACTGTAGGCTGCAAAGGCAGTGTACAGGAAAAGGTAGAGTGGGTTTTGCTTATGAGGGTATCTGAAAACTAAAACTGAGCGGTATATCATGGTATAGTTGGACAGTATTGGTCCTTCATTCTTCGGCCATATTGTATAATGGAGCTTTAACCAAAGATATATGAGAAGCATAAGGCTATGGAAAATCAACTAGTCAAAGTAAAACTCTTGACAAACATATATACTTAAAGCAGATTAGAAAAGGTGCTATGTTGTAGGCTCCTGCCAGTGCAGAAGGGTTTTTGAATTCAAGATGCAACTAAATTACAAAGTTCTCAGTTTCACTTTAGTAGAAGTATCTCTAGAAATGAAGCAGATAAACACATCTAAGAACATTTTGTTTGCCTTCTAAAATTTCCAAAGCTCCACCATAAATATAATTCTTAGTGTTTTAAATGATTACATTTTAAGGTACATAAGTAATGGGTTATGCAAAATATCAATGCTACAGTAACATCCTGAAACAAAACAAGCACAAAGGTATAAATGCCTAAACTGGAGGAAACTTGAAACCCTCATGTTAATTCTTAAATGTAGTATTTCTAACTTGTGACAGACATATTGGTAGGCAGCCATTTTTGTGAATTAAAATAACTGGGGGCATAGTTAAAATTTTATATATCAAGTGATCGCTATTGAATGTTGCAGGTGAGATGTTATTTTTAGTTTTATTTGAAATGTCTGAAAAGGAGGGAGGGGGAAGCAAATATTTGAAATTTGGAAAACCCTAAACCTTTTGCTAAGAAATTGTAATTTTCACTTAACATTTTCTTAAAGGATATAAGGGGTTTATAATTGATGTAGTTAAATTGGATAGTAACTATTGGTAAGATTATGGAACAGGTAATTACAGCCCACAGAAAAAGTTATAATCTTAAGGATTAAAAAAAATAAGATCCTGAAGTTTTTGTTTAATTGCATCAATTTCTGTATTTATGTGAAACAGTAAGTTTTGAATGAGGTTACTCTTGTCTAAGTAAATGAGTCTGTAGACTGTGATCTCCCCAAACTAAAAAGTACAGTACATGGAATTGTGTTCTTTATGGTTGTAGTGTTGGTAAAGCACTAATATGCAGAAAATAAAGGAATTACACAGTGCAGTTTCTCACGTTACATTACTCGTTTGAACTAGATAAGAGGGAAATATGGTGTGTTGGGCTTTGTTATTTTCCAGGGGTATATATGGTAAAAAGTTATTTAATTTGGGAGTAATTCAACTTCTATAAGAATAACCACAAAAGAAAGAATCAGTTTGATTCTAGTAAATATTGGCTATTAAAGGTTTGTCTTGTTTTAGTTTCAATGAACTTAATCTGATTTTATCATCATTAGGAACACAAAAAACAGTTGAGGGTAGTTTTTTTTTTATTAGAATTCCACAGCAGACTTTATTGATTTTCCAAATTACAACCTTAGTATTTTTATAAATACAGCATTGTATTTGTGAAGAGTTGGCCTACAGAGTACTCTTAACTCTTGACAGACTTGGAATTTAATGTGTCTTTAAAGGTCAAAGTTGCTTGTGTGATAACTATGGCAGAATTGGTGCCACTTGGGAAGTACAATAGTAGATGAAAAATAACTTGGGTAAGAATAATTTTTATGTGGTTTTATAAGCATTCCCTCCACTATCAGCAAATTTTATAGTTTAAGAGTGTAATCTCTGGGGTATTTAACTCCCACACTAATATTTATAAATATATTTGCTGCAGTTATCAATATGTTAGTGAAAGCAGTAGAAAATATTTTCCTCTTTAATGAGTTTTTAGGCTTTAGTATAAGCTTAGTAATTCAGTAGCTGTAATCAGAATAGTGATGGAGCTTACTAAATTTCCAAAATTATTTCCTCAATATTTGGCCAAATATCTATCATGTACATTATTGATAGTAAGGCATACTTTTTCTGTTTCTTTAGAGGTAAAAATTCCATTTGTAAATCCACATACAGTAATTATAACTTATAGACCAATCACTGAACTGAACATAATCTATTTAGAATATAACTTTCAATAGAATCTAGGTTTTTGCTTTAATTAAATGGTAGGGACTAAATAGGAAAGATTACAGTATTAGGTGATTTATAAAAATGGTTGAGACATGGAACCATGGACTAGCTAGAATAACCTCCCTGCTTTGTGAAACTTCAAAGTTGCCAGACTAGATTAGTGACTTGAATGGGCAAGGAACACATACGTGAGATCAAAGAAGGCCGAACAGATCTGTGGAGGGTTTTAGGAGTTACAATTGCAATTTGTTATTAAGTTAGCTAAAGTAATAGTAAACTTAAAGAGAATTATACTGTAAGAACTATCTTCACTTTGCGAGACAATAAGAAAATGCTTTAAATTTTAGCCTTTTTTTCCTTTTAAGTTTTATGATTACTCAAAAGAACTTTAAAATGAGAATACAGTACTTGTCAGCCTTGACTTGGAACATCTTTTCATTTGTTAAATTATTTAATACAGAATATATATTTCCTCCATAGTATGTATTTTATAATTATTAAAGTAGATTTTCTTTGCCAAGAGCCTGCTATTAGTCCTGGCATTGCTTAGATATAGGAGATAACTTTTTTGGGGGGGGGGAGTGGGGGGAGAGGTTTTTCACTATAGGGCACGTGCACTCGCCAGACAGACATAGAGACAGAAAGCGAGAAATCATCCCCCAGGGGGGATGGTCACGCCGCAATCCCTTCTCCATTCTCCTCTTGGGATCTTGGGCACGCACGCACATGCGCCCGGTGTGAGTTTTAAGCCACCGGCTCCGGGACGTGAACCAGGGTCGACTATGTGGGAGTCCAGCGACATAGCCATTATGCTAACTGCTGGTTCCCAATATAGGAGATAACTTTGTGGGAAAGAAAACTCTGCCTTCGTAGAACTTAGAGTTGGAGGAAAACAAAGATCAGATGATAAGAGTATATTAGATGATACACTATGTATTATATAGTATGTAGGGGAACAGGTAGGGATATGTTCAGGGAAGTCCTCATTTGAAAAGGGGACAGTTAAGGAAATATTTGAAAATGTTATCAGTTTAATTGGCACAGTTATAAAAAGATATGTGTAGGGGCCAGCAGGTGGTGTGGTGGTTAAAGCGCTGGATACTCCCACATGGCGGACCATGGTTCAAGTCCTAGACCTGGTGGCTTGCTTTTTCACTTTCCCTCTCCCTGTGTATGTGTCTCTCTGGTCAAATAAAAATAAATGTATGAATTTTTTTTTAAAAAAAGATATATGTAGTATAAAGCAGGGGTGGAAAGACTGGCCAAGGGCAAATCTGACTACAGCCTATTTTTATAGGGACTGTGCTGTGAATGGTTTTTACATTTTTAAAGGACTTAGGAGTCTTTTGTTTGTTTAACAGAGGTTTTTGCTATAGGGTACATGCACTTGCTGGAGAGAGAGATAGCTGGAGAGACAGAGACGAAAAGCGAGAACTCACCCTCCAGGGGAGATGGCCATACCACAATCTGCTCTTTATTCTCCTCTCGGGATCTTGGGCACTTGCACAAACACGCTTGGCCAGTTTTTAAGTCACTAGGTCCAGGACTTGAACTGTAGTAGAATATGTGGGAGCCTAGTGATGTAACCATTACGCCACCTGCTGCTCCCAAACACTTAGGAATTGTAAGGAAAAAACATGAATATGTTACTTAAAAAGCCTGTTATTTACTATCTGGCCTTGTGCGGAAAATATTGATCCTGAGTGGGAAGGGAAGTCCAATTTTAAAGACATTATCAAAATATATAGGAAATGCAGCAGTTTAAAGAAAGTGGTTTAAATGAGTTGAGTAGTCAAAATTTTAGCAAACAGTGGCATATAATAATTTACCATATTCACACACCTAGTTAGACCTAAGACTTATAATTGAGTCGTCTAACCTGAATTTTCTAAATAAGATGAAAAGTGTGAAATCAGTTTCTTAAATTTTGATTTTAACATTATTTAAAATTTCATCTCATTTAAATATTTCCTTCATTTTTATGGTAGTTTTACTGGTCTTTGGAGTTAAATTAAATGTGCTTCTCTGGTAAAGTGCTCTTTCATCCAAATAACCTAGATTACTTTGGAATAGGTTCGGATAACATCATTCAACTGTGGCTTTTTTTTTTTTTCTTCTTTTAAATTTTATCAGAGAGTGTGTACAGTTGCCAGAGAGAGAGAGAGAGAGGGCTAACACTTGAGTGAAGACATTTACCCCCCATGGGGGATGGTCACACCACAATTCTTTCTCCTCTGTTTCTCCCTGATATGGTAATTTTGAGCAGCATGTACACATAGGCCCAGCATGTTTTTCAAACTTCTGGGTCCAGGATTAGAATCATACAGTCAGCCATGGGGAATCAAGCCACCTTCACCACCAGGCCACCAGATGGCTTCAACTGTGGCTTTTATTTACTTGGTATTACTATAGTCAAGTCCTGAGTCCATTATTTTAAATTGTAAGAGAAAGTGTTTTATTGACTTGGAAACACTCTTTGTTATAGGGTGCATTTGCTGCTGGAGAGGCAGAGACAGAAAGCGAGAAAGCACCCCCAGGGGGTGTGGCCCCACTGCAATCCCTTCTCCAGTCTCCTCTCAGGATTTTGGGCACTCATGAACACGTGCCTGGCATGAATTTCAAGCCACTGGGTCCAGGCCTTGAACTGAGGTGGGAGTCCAGCAACATAACCTTTACACCATCTGCTGGTCCCATGAAACATTTTTTTAAGAGATTTTTTTTTTTTTTTTTATTGCTATAGGGGGTGTGTGCTTGCTGGAGAGAGAGTGAGAAATCATTCCCCAGAGGGGATGGCCACACTGCAATCCCTTCTCCCCCGTTCTTAGGATTAGGTCACACCTGTATAGGCGCCCAGCTTGTTTCAAGCCACCAGATCCAGGGCTTGAACCTCAGTCAGCCATATGGGAGTCCAACGCCTAACTACTATGCCACCTGCTGGCCCCGACTTGGAAACTTATGTTATATGACACTTGTTTTTTTCTAGTATTCTAACTGATAAAACTAGGAAATAATTTACTTCACACATGAATTGTTTCTTGCCTGAAGAGTCGTTTTAGTATAGAAACTGATAAACTAAGGATGAGTATAGAACCTGTATTTTAAAAGGGAAATGAATTTACCAAGAGTTTGGAAGTAAGTTTTCTGGAGGTTATTTACAAAAAAGTTTTAAGAAAATCAAAACAGTGGTGATTCATAGAGAAACCTATGTGAAACTGGTCATTCATACCCATAAAAGCTGTTTTCCAGGGACTGGCAGGTGGTATAGTGATAAAAGTGCAGGACTCCCACATGGCTGACCGTGGTTCAAGTTCTGGACCTGGTGGCTTGGTTTCTCACTTTTCCTCTCTCTCTCTCTGGTCAAATTAAAAAATAATAACAATAAATAATTTTTTAAAACTATTTTTTATTATAACTGGATAGGCTGGCCTAAAAGGGTCATAGCATGATGGAGGGGCGAGGGAAGGAGACCTCAAACGAGCAAAAACAAATTTATTAGAGTTGAAAAGCAAGAATTTGGATCTTTGAAGTTTGTTTTAAGATGGTAAACCAAAGTGTTTTCTCTCCATATCTTTGTTTTTTAAAAGTTTTATGAATAAGTCTTAGGTTAGAGTTTGGTCTAAAGAGATCAATTGGAAAGTCATCTAAAAAAAAGTTAGCATTCTTGTATGTTTGCCACTTGCCTGGCATTATTCTAAGCATTTCATACATATTCTATATATTCTCACAACAACCTTAGGAGATAGAGCTCCCATTTTATAGCTGAGCTTCTGGAGGCACAGAGACACATAAGTTGCCAAGCGAGGACTTGGATTCAGGTCTTTAACTATATTATGAATATAACTGAGGTGAACTGGTGGTTAATAATGTTCTTAGTTTGTGTGTATTTTCTTTTTTTTTTTTTAGTTTACTATAGGGCACATGTGCTCTCCAGAAACAGAGAGAGAGAAAAAAAAAAATAAGAAAGCATTGCCCCAAGGGGGACGACCATGCTGTAATCCCTTTCTTCTCAGGATTTTGGACACAGACACATGCACCTAGCTTGTTTTTCTGTATTTATTTTTTTAGAGATTTTTTGCTCTAAGGCATGTGCACTCG